ACCCGGCTGGGGAGCCGGCTTGGCGCTGCAGGGAGGCAGAGAGCGGAGGAAGAGGCAGAGGGAGGAGGAGGAGGGGAAGAGAGAGAGAGAGGAAGCAGACACTGGATAAGAACAAAAGAGGAGGAGCAGGGGGCGACGAGCGGGGTTAGGGGTGGGGGTTCATTTCTGTCCAGAAAGGGCGTGCACGGGCGGCGACAGCTAGTGTAACTGTACGCGGAATCCCTGGGGAGGGACTCTACCTCCCAGTGAAGGCTGCTCCAATCAGCCTAATGAAATAGGATCACATCCCAAACTTTCTCAAAGAGACGATTGGCCAGGCAGCTCTCATTACTCTTAACTCCGTGCTTTTTCTTTGGGAGGGAGAGGGGGAAGGGAGGAACCGAGGAATTCAGTACTGACTCGCCAGGGCCACCCAGGATACAGGGTTGAGGGAAAACCAGGGGACTTTTCAGCTGGATCGGTTCTCCTGAGAAAGGTGCTTTCTTTGAATAACTTAGGGTGCAAGTGGGGGCACAGGAAGCCCGGGTACAGTCAAGACAGCAAGATTCCTGGAGGCTACTTCCAAAATGACAAGCTGAGGAGACAGGACAGATCCGTGGACTAAACTGAGAACAGCAGACATGACATACGGAGGAAGGACAGACAACAAGATCTGAGACACACAGGGCACACAGGACCAGTCAGGAAAAGGCAGTGATCTCTGTACCTCTTGAGTGACCTCGCCAATACCAGAGCCCCATCCCAAGAACAGAATGAAATTAGAGGACTCCTTTTACATTCCTGGGGGCTAAGTCAATTCTGTTTCAACCTGCAAGGGGCATGGACTGGATCACAAAAAAGTCTAGTATGTCCCCAGGGCACGGAACTGAGAAAGTCCAGTTCAGTCCTGTAGCGTCCCAAGCTATGCTGAACCCCTCACCTACAGCCAGGTACCACCCTAAGAGACTGGCTCTAGAACTGACCCACCTTACTGAGGAGATCTCTGTCCAGACTGAGTCTAAAACAGCCCAGCTTCAGGAGCAAAGTCTATCACCATCCATCCCCCCTCCCAGCCCAGCATTTGCCTTTTCAGTAAGTCCTGCATGTAAGAACCAAAGTAGAGATGGTAGCTTCCAAACAGACCAGAGGGGGCAGAATTAATGCACCATTAAGTCCACAATCCAATTCACCTAATCCTCTCTGCCCCTCTCTGTGAGTTTCCACTTTCTGTGCCAGGATGAAGGTCAGAAGAACATTTCACAAGTGTCCCAAAGCTAAGGAAAAGCCACATTCCTAAAGATCACCAGAAATCACTGCAAGAAAATATGCCCCTGCAGTTCAAGTGTGACAGCTGGCCATGGGTCCATCAGGCCCTGCGAGGACATGTGAAGGGAGCTCAAGGCATTGAGACAGTTCACCACCTACAAGGCCGAGTCTAAGGGAAGTGTGTTTAGAAACTGGAGCCAAAGAGCTGGGGCCAGACCCACCAGTAAATGACTCCCTGGAACAGCGGCCTCGTCTTATTTTCTGACTCTTTTCCATATCCGGCCACTGGCTCTCTCAAGGGTAGTATCACTCTATTTTAACTCCAGGACGTGGCAAAGAAAGGAGAAACCCCTTCCCATCAGGTGTCAGGTCTGGCAAGGAGCAGGACACCGCTTCCGGCTCCCAGAATGCTGAGGAGGTTGTAACTCCAAACTTCAGGGTCCGGAGTTAAGCCACAGAGTTGCTCACTGCCTTGGATTTCCTCCAAGGACGAGCGCTTTGCCGGGGATCTGCTGGCTTGTCAGTTCAAGAAACCTGCTTGTTGAGGGCTTCAAACAGAACAGGAGTGTTCACAGACAGGGGACGAAAGATTCAACAAGGGGAGTGGCCCCCTTGAAGTTGATCATGAGGCCTCTGAATTTAAACGTACGCCCCTTAAAAGGAAGATCAGCCAGTAGCTTCCTCTTCCCACATGCTTCAGCCACTCTTCTACCCACAATAGATTCTGGACCTAAAATCAAAATCCTGTGAGACTTAATTTAAGCCTTGGGCCCAGCAGTAGCTGAGAATAATCATTTACATTTCTCCTGGCCTGAGGGAAAACCTCCTCCAAACTAAATCTGAAATGCCTTTCACTGGCTGGGAAGCAGACACCCAGAGGACCTGAAGTCCCTGAGCACTGTTCCCACTCATGGCCACCTGCGGTCCCAGCTTAAAGAAAAGAAGGTACCTGTCACCTATTAAAACCCTGTTTAAAACACCCCCTACCCCTCCACCCCCAGCGGCTTACTTTTCACTGCAGTTACCATCAAGTAAGGTGATAAATGGGACACTAGTTTGGAAATGAGATGCCCTCTAGGTGCAAGTCATCATTACTGTGAGGACTGTAAGCACACTGAGGGGAGGACCAGGTGTCTCCTTTGATTCTAGCCAGTGTCCTGTGTGTTCTGTTTGTACAGTAACCTTTGAACTTTTGTAAAGGGCTTTCAGACATAATCTTTTATCTTCCCAGTGACCCTAGCAGTGAGAAGGATAGAGATTACTCTCATTTTATAATTTACTGAAATGAGACACAGAAAGATATCTAAGATCGTTGATTTAAAAAAAAAAACCAACAATAATTGATCATGACAAAGCCAGACCTTGAACCTGGGTCATCTGAAGCCAGTTAGAGGCCGTCCAAATCTCATCAAATGCATCAGCTCTGAAAAGCAGGTCCCTTGTAGCACCAGAATTTTACTAGCCCTGACTTTAGCGGGCAGATCACGAAACGACATGTGGCTGTTGAATTCCATCAGTTATTCTACAAGGGTGGAAATGGAAATACAAAGTTTTGAAAAACAATTTCTCAAAGGAGCTGGTGTCAGGGGGTCAGGACCAAAGAGCTTCAGAACCCCAGCCACTGCATTCCTCTCCAAGACCGCCTTCCTCACATCTCTCCCATATTTGGCTCTCAGCCAACCCCACAGTTCTCTGGGAAACTGACCTCGCCTTCTGCCCTCCAGACAGGTGGTGGCCAGAACGACCTGGCCTCCCTTCCCTCAGCTCGCAGCCAGGCCTCATATTACCAAGCAACTGTTGTTTATTCTCAACTGTTCAGGCTCCTTTTTCCCGCAGGCCACAAGACACCCAACACCTGTCTATTACTTCTGGAGACCCACAAACTACATAGCCCATTATTCAGGAGAAACTTCCAGGAGGGAGCTTAAGTGAAAAATAGCAGCTTTGATGCTAGATTTCTCCTGAGTGCACATCCAAGTGAGAGTGAGGTAGAAGGGGCCAGCCCTCACCAACCCACATCCCTCCGGCCTCAGGGATGCCAAGGGCAGGCAACTCCCAAGAGCACGGACAGGTGTGTCCCTTCCAACAGTGCTGCCACCAGTCAGTCAGTCCCCACCCTCAAGATTAGGACACAGTCTGTCTCTCTGGCACACTATCAAAACAGCCAAATCCAAAGGCTGGCCCACGGACCAGGGAAAGACGCAGGCAGTGGGCACTCATGAAGAGGAACTTGTTGCTATTAGAGAAGCTAGAGATACTGAGAGATGTGGACCATGCCGTAGAGCGGTGTAACTCACTGTCTTCAAAAACAAAAGGAAGGATGGCCAGGTCGTGTTCTCAAGCTCTCCTGTGGCTGCTGAGCAAGAGGAAATGAATCTGTGTAGAGCTCAGGGTGGGACACTCAGACAATAAACGTTTCCCAAGAGGAAGGCCAATCAGGGACTGGAATGGATGAGCAAGGATGGTTAGAAGGTGGCTTCCTCTGCACATCTTTAAAGGTAACTGGAGTCTAGTTAGAGGCAGTGGCAGGGAAGAATGATCTCTTAAAGGCCCAGCACTCTGGGTCAGCAGGGCCAGACTTTCTCTGTTTTAAATAAAAGCAATTCACTTATGCCTAAAACAAACTCCATTTGAACAGATGTACTTCTGGCCCCAGGCACCTTGATTACTGGATACTAAACACCTCCCTGAAACCCACAAACAGCCCTAATATCTTGCACGGTGAAACAGAAATGCAGGGACCAACGATGAGGGTGGTGACGGAAAAGATGCTAGGGGTGGGGACTGCAGGGGCAGGTAAAGTCAGAGAGAGTAAGCTTCCACCTCTGCCCTGGTATCTTCTGTCTGTTCCTTTCTCCAATTCTTGCCTCCTCCCCCTGGCAGGAGCTCACTACTGAAGCAGTCAGGGCGGTTTCCGCACTGAATCTGTGTGGTCAGGCTGGAGGATGCTGGCTAAACACCACCTAAATAAAACCACAGTTGACCAGCCTCCATGTCCAGCTTCTCCTTCGGAGGAAATGGAGGAAAGTACTGTAAGACTTTACCAAGTCTCAGTTCCCGAGGACGGAGTGCTCAGCCTTGGGGAACGCGCATACAAGGTTAGCAGCCTTCGGCAGGGGCCAGGGTGAGCAGTGACGCCACCTCCGGAGGACTGTCACCAGATAAGCCTCCCTGGTTTAACTGCTCATCAAAAGGCTCAGGAATCCAATAAGAATATTTTGCACAACACTTGGCTGACTCTGTTTTTGCAGACAGACATCATCGCTTGTCCTCTAAACCTTCCAAGGACATCAGTGCTGGAAAAGACTCCCTGTGTCACCCCACCCGTGTCCTTGCGGTCCATTCCAGGGAAGGCAGGTGGCGTGTTCTGGTTCTGCTGCTGCTTTCCTTGGAAGGGTCACCAAATACCACTGGCAGTGTAT